CTTGCTCAGGAGGATTGCTCAGGAGGACAAAGCGATGCAGTCGGGAGGGAGAGAGCAAATTGCTGGGCACCTTGAAGGCTTTCAGCTGATGTATTCCTTGTCAGTTTGTTTAGAGAGGACACTTGATCTCCTGGGCAGATGGCCTGGGGAGTCTGGGGTTGGTGTCACGTGTGGGTGACCAGGGCTGCGCTCTGCACGGGGCTTTGCATTTCCAGTGGCAGCATCCCTGCCTTGTCCTGCAGGCTGGGATCTAATGAATGCCACCAAAACATTCTGGTTTTCTGTGTCTGTGCGTGAGAGAACCGGATTTTAAACATGAGTTTAAACATTGATTTTATTTTCAAATATCTCTAAATGTGCTGCACACTGAACAGAAGTTTTGCAGCTTGTGAAGATCAAGAAGTAAAGATCTTTTCATGTATTTACTGTTTATCTGCTGTTAATGGAAACCTCATAAATTTTCCTACCATATTTATTATGAAACTTTAAAATGCATATTAAATATGGAAGGTAGTGACAACTTCCATTGGCATCTGCCTGGACAGCCTGGCCTTTCCAGACATGCACTAAACTTACTGCTTTTATAACAGCAAAATCTCCCATTTTATTTGCTTAGAATTAAGGAAAAGGTTGAGAGAAGAACTTACTGTTCTTGGACATAGTCTAAAGAGGTGATTTGATTTTGTTTTTTATTAGAAAGATTGAGAAATAAAATCCTCATTTCCTGGATTGAGAAAGATCAGGAGAGGCCCTGTGTGTAAATGTTTTGCATTACACAATGCTCTTCACTCATTAACCAGGTGGAAATCATAGGGAGGGAATGAAGCAGCACATGGAATTTCTTAGAGAAAACAATGAGCTCTGAACTGGATTGCAGCACCACGTCAGAAGGGACACGTTGATGAATCTGCAGGTTCATCAGAGCTGTGCTGCCTTTCTGAAGGTTTCAGGTGGAAATCTTCAGCTGGAAGTTGACTGAGCACGTTGTTGGTTGTTTTTGCAGTGGATGTTCCTGGTGCACCCTTTCAGCAGGAGTTTTCTTTGGGGTTTTTGGGGTGGAGGAGCACACAGGGTTTGCAGCAGGCAGCTCCTCCTGCCAGGCTGGATGATGGGGATGATGGAAACCCTGACGCAGGAGCTCAGGCTGGCACTGCCAGCCCCGTGCCAAACGTGCCAGCTGAGCTCTGCCAGGCACAGAGTGGCTCTGTGGGTCCTGTCAGGAGGGGTGAAACAGGGACCTGCAGGGCTCTGTGGATCCTGTCAGGAGGTTTGTTCCTCAGGATGAAACAGGGACCTGCAGGGCTCTGTGGGTATTTCAGGAGGTTTGTTCCTCAGGGTGAAACAGGGGCCTGCAAGGCTCTGTGGGTCCTGTTTGTTCCTCAGGATGAAACGGGGACCTGCAGGGTTCTGGGGGTCCTGTTTGTTCCTCAGGGTGAAACAGGGACCTGCAAGGTTCTGGGGGTCCTGTTTGTTCCTCAGGATGAAACAGGGGCCTGCAAGGTTCTGGGGGTCCTGTTTGTTCCTCAGGATGAAACAGGGGCCTGCAGGGTTCTGTGGGTCCTGTTTGTTCCTCAGGATGAAACAGGGGCCTGCAGGGTTCTGTGGGTCCTGTTTTCTCCTCAGGGTGAAACAGGGTCCTGCAAAGGCTCTGTGGGTCCTGTTTGCTCCTCAGGGTGAAACAGGGGCCTGCAAGGCTCTGTGGGTCCTGTTTGTTCCTCAGGGTGAAACAGGGGCCTGCAGGCAGACATTAACACGCTTGTTCCTTGTTCTGCCCTGGTTATTTATAGCTCCTGTGACACGCAGGATGCTGCAGCATCTGATGCATTTCATCAAATTATCAAATGGCAGGAGGAGGCCTCGTGCTGGGGCTGGTCAATAGCCATGGAAACCACCCCATAAAACTGAGCTGTGTCTGTCAGCACTGGCTGCCCCACAGGCCCTGGGATTTCCTGAAGCTGCTTCATTACCCACAGCACTTTGTTAATTGTGGCACAGTTTGTCTTCAGTGAGCAGCACAAACAATAATGCTGACAGAATCCTGTCATAAGCAATCTTTTAAAGTTAAACAGAAGTGCTGAAATTGAAATGTTTGTCCTAAAAATCCAAATTATGTACTTGTGAAAATGAAACCATTGTGCTCCAGAGCCACTTCTTACCCAAACTTATCCATGGGCCTGAGCTCAGCCTGTGTGTGAGGCTATTTTAGCTTGGCAGCTGTCGCTCTCAGATGCCTCCTGTGAGCAGTGCAGCATCTCCTGCAGCGCTGGTGCATGTCATCTGTGCAGGGCAGAGCAGATTCAGTCAGTGTCAGGCACTCTGCTTTGTGGGAGCAACAGGTCATCTCTGAGCTGGTGTGCAGCTATTTCGTTCTGCTTTGTTTAAAGCTGTTTTTTTAGGTCTGTGTTGGGCTTGACTTGGAGAAAGGTCCTGTTCTTGCTGCAGGGAGAATGGGCCATGATGCCTGAATTAATGGAAGTCTAGAATAGGAAGAAAAATATGAAAATGGTTTTTTAAAAAGTATTATTAAGCTCTAGAATTTCTGAGTTTCTGAAATTATTTTTGGTGTGCTTTGTTGTTATTTGTATATTAAGAAGCGTCTCTCCCTTGCCTTTCCAAGGGGCACAAAGCTCCTTTAGAGCTGGGTATCTCTCAGTGGCCCAGGGATAGTTCTGTACTCAATAAAGGTGATTAACAGCAGAATTGGCCAGAAGGATTGACTCCATTCCTACATGGAAATTTGGAGCAGCATTCAAGGTCCGTCTAATTCTGTAATTCTGATGGGCTCTGTGCTAGGCTTGCATTTCCAGAAGGGACTTCTGGCATCCCATGGGGTCAAGGGAAAACAGTTTGTCACAGGGTTTATTAATAAGAGCCGAATCACAACACAACCCAAATATAACCTAGTTTGGTTAAAAGGAATCTTAAAAAATATTTCAATGGCTGCCTAAGAATTCAAGTGCACCATAGTAAGTCTCAGGCAAAATAAGGAATAGGAATTGGGTGTTCTCATTGTAAGCAGTGCCTGCCTTTCCACGTTTCCCCATTTAGCTGTTGAATTCCTGCAGACAGGAATTGCACTGCTCTCTGGGATGCTGGGAGTGGTGTTGGGCTGAGTTTGTCACTGCTGCTGCCACCCTCTGTTGCCCAGAGCACCAGCCAGAGGCTTGTGGTGCCAGGGGAGTGACCCAGCCACCCACCCAGCATAATGAGAATTCCTTGGGAAGCTTCACCTGGTAAAACTGAGAGTGTGAGTGCACTGGGGACCAGCCGTGGCACTCAGCATCCTGCTCTGCACATACTGGGTGACTTGTGCCTGTGTGTGGGGGCAGACAGTAAAACCTGCCGTGGCTGGGAGCTGGGGCACCCCTGAACGCTTCACTGCGGGTGCTGCGTGGGCTGTCGGGAAGGAGCAGGTGGGGATGAGTAAATCTCACACTGTAATCTCCAAGCCTTTACAAGCGCTGCTTAATTCCCGTCTCCGTGGCCCCGGGCACGTTCTTGGCGAACTCTGCAGTCGTGCTGGTTCTGAGGGTCAGGGTTAGGTGAGGATAGATCCCCGTGTGAGCAGACCTGCAGGATCCTGGAGGCTGCACAGAGGCTCTTTCCTGGGCTGGGAACTGAGAGCTCCGTTGGAGCAGAGAATTCACCTTTTTGGGAGTCCTCGTGCCCTTCATGGAAGCCTCTGATCCCTGCCCGCCTCCTTCCAGCAGATGTTTGCAAAAAGATGTGATCCAAAATACATTAAGCCAACTTGAGGCGCATTTCTCTCTAGGGGATTTTAAAATCTCATCTCCCTCCCTTCCCTGGAATAGCAGGGCCCATGTACTCAGCATCCATTATCTTTTTTGCAGACAGAATTTGTTATTTACCCATTGTTTATAGCCGTACACAGTGTTTATAGCGAAGGAAAATGCCTTTTATTTTTTTGCTTGTTTCTTTTTAGGGAATTATGAATTCTCATTTCCCTCCTTTCCCTGGAATAGTAGGGCCCACATACTCACCATCCCCTATCGGTTTTGCAGGCAGAAATTTCCTATTTGCTTGTTGTTTATACCCGCGTACGGTGTTGATAGGAAAGGAAAAAGCCTTTTTATTTCGGTGTTTACAGAGAAGGAAGAAGCCCTTCTCTAGAATAGAGAGAGGCACTTTGTCCAGCCTTACATGGCTGCTGGCTCCTGTGGGGATGTGCTGGGGCCGGGAGAGGCCGCGGGCAGGGCCGGAGCCCCCCGGCCGCGGCTGGACCGGGGAAGGGGCCGGGGGAGAGAGAGGACGAGAAGGAAGGAGAGGGGACGAGCGGCAGCGAGCAGGGAGCGGGGCCGCGGCCGCTCGGCGCTGGCAGCTGCCGGGGCCGGGGCCGGGCGGCGGCCGCTGCCGGGGCTGCCGGGGGCGGTGTCGGGGCCGAGCCCGGCGGGCGGAGGAGGCGGCGGCGGTGCCGGGCCCGGGGCTGAGGGGGGCCGGCGATCCAGGCCGCCTTTTGCGGCGCGCCCCGCGGAGCCGCCCGCCCAGCCCCGCCGCCATCACACGCTGGGCGCCGCCGCCTCCGCCCGGCCCTGCGCGGCTGCTCCGGGGCTCGGCTCCGCTCCGCGCCCGGCCCCGCCGCCGGCCCCGGCCCGAGCGAGCCCCGCCGAGGAACGCGGGGGCTGCGAGCCTTTAACCCCTGCGGCACCTGCCCCGAGCCCCGCGCCGCGCTCTGCCCGCGCTGCCCGGCCGCGGCTCCGGCGGAGCTCCGAGCGAGCGGCCCCGGCTCCGAGCGGCCCCAGCTCCGGCCCCGGCGGAGCTCCGAGCGCCGAACTTGCCGGCGGAAGGAGGGAATGCGGCTGGGGATTTTCCGTGTCTTTCCCGAGCCCTTTCCCCCGTTCGCAGCCCTGTAGGTGCGTTCGCTTCCCCGGGCTCCCGGCGCCGATTCACCGCCGCCGTTTGGGGGATTTTTTAATTTTTTTTTTTTTAACATTTTTTTTTTGCTGCTGCTGACACGCTGTTTTTGTTATCTTTTATCACAGAAACGGTTTATTAAGGGGTTGAGGCAGTACGGCAAGAACTTCTTCAGAATCCGAAAGGAGTTGCTTCCCAATAAGGAGACCGTAAGTACATTTGGACTTTATGTAATTGGCTTTTTCTCTCGCTGCTTCGCTGTTTGATCTTGCGAAACTCTTTCCTTTTTACCCCGAATTCTCCTCAGATAAACGGAAGAGAAATCCTCGGCCAGCCAAGGCAGCTGCCGGTTTTTAGTGCAGTTTTTAGGTCTTGGGCTGTGAAAGATGTTACATAAAATAATCGTCATGGCTGGACGGAGCCACTGAGCCTGGCTGGAGTGTATTTATGGAGAGCGAATCTAATTTTAAATTCTGACATTACGGCACGATAGTACATTTTGTGTCACCCGGTGGGGGCTCGAGTGGCGTCGGGTAAATAAAGAAAACCCAAACCAAAGCAGCATCGATGGGATCGGGGTCTGCTGTGACCCGCACCGTGCAGGCTCTGCTTAACCCTTCCCCACCTGGATCCGCGTCCCGGCGTTCTTTAGGGTTATGTAACCCTGTCCTGCACCCCAAACCCTGCCCGGGGGATTGGGAGCCTTGGGAAGCCGCGCTCCCTTTGCCATTTGCCCCAAAGAGCCTCGGGCTCTGTCCTGCAGGTGCCCTCCAGCCTTTGGGAAGTGCTTTCGCTTTTGTGCCGGGTTTAGCAGGGAGGCGGCTCCGTGCAAATGGAGCTGGGCTGTTTTCTAGCAGCGTGTCGGGGATTTGGAGCGTCACGGAGCGCTCAGACTTGTGTAGGTGTGCAGGCTGGATGTGCGCTGGGGGAGAGCGTGGCTGTAATGATATTTAAAAAGCTCTCAGTTTCTGTGGGATGGCTCCATTCTCCTCCCCGAGGTTCCTGTGAGACAGTGCTGTGATAGCACAAATCTCTGGGTGGTAAATAGTAACACTGTGTGAGTTAAAAAGGAAGGGGAGGATGAGACAATTACGAGTTCGCTCATCCTGCTGAGAAAGGAAACTCAGATTTCTGCTCCAGTCCTGGTGGACTCGAGGATCCTGTTGGATTTTGAGGTGTGGAGGCCTGGAAAGGTGACAGCTGGGAGGGAATGCTGGGATAGTGTGGATCTTATCAGCATCCTGCAAACCTACACACACCGTGCCTTTCCTCTTTCCTCTAGAATATCTCCCAGAATGGATCTAGAACAAATCAGTGCTTGCTTTTAGAAATGAATTCTGCTGATGGTAAAGTTGCTGAGGGGCAAAAGTGCTCTTCTGAGTTTGACTTATGGCAGCTCTGAAGTATATTGTGTCTTTATAAATTGAAATGTATATTTTAAATATGAAATGTATTTGTTTGGGTTTTTTGTGATGGAGAAAAACATTTTGCAGGGAGGAGGTAAAAAAAGCCCTGAAAAATGGAGAGTTTGGGGCAGGTGCCTGCCCTTGTTTGCTGCTTAACTTCTTGCATTGGAGCTTGGATATCAGCCTTGGGGTTTCTGTAAAAGTTTTGCAAGTGGTGTTAAAGCTCACAGAAGCTCTCGTTTTTCAAGTGTTATATTTTTGTTTCATTAGGTGTAATTTTTTACTACAGAGAAGACTAAATATTAAGTCTGAGCTGTGGGAAGTATCAGTGGATGGGTTTGGGCTCAGGGGTTTTTTTAGCCCCTGTGGTAACTGATCTACAAATAACCTTTGACCCACCACGGGTTGTTTATAATCTCTGCTTCCTATTTTTGCCCACAGGCCTCACTTCTGCTTTCTTTAATTCCCAATCTTTTCCAGCCAGAATTTACAGCCCTTCTGCTGTAGGAAGAGATTGCAGCATAAAGGCTGCAGTAAATATTTGACTGTACAGTTTTTCTTCTGCTCCTTAAAGTGGAATAATGAGTAATGTAAATGACAAGGCTGTGGGATTAATCTGTCTGCATTTTTTCATCACCAGAATAATTTCAGATACTTTGTGTGCCATTTTTCTGTTGCACTGTGAAGTAACGCTGTAGCAATTCCAGAAACACCAGAAAAAGGCTTTATTCTCTGTTCAGCTTCCATATTAACATCAGTGAAACGCTAAAAAGTTGTTTAATGGATACTAATGGATAATGAATAACTAATAAAACTGTAAAAAGTTGTTAAATGGATACTAAAGCAACTTCCAGGTGCTTAAAGATGTGTCAGGGGCACTTTTTCAGTGGCTTGTCCCAATGGCTCTTGGACATGTGATTTATTCAGTTTTCCTCCTGGTCACTGAAGGTTTGGGGAGGGGATCCAGGGGGTTTGTCTCTGCAATCCCCACTGAAAGTTAAATCTCCTCATTACCATGATTTCTGTAAATTTGTCCTTTCCTAGACCCTTCACTGGGGGAAATTCTTCCTGAACCTGGAAACAGTGGGAGAAAAGGAATGCAACAGAAGCAGGGAATTCTTGTAGAGACCAGGCCTGTTTCATGTTATTCCATGTTAAACCACGCTGAGGCTGCTGTGCAGGAAATGAGGATGTGAACATGACCCTGGATTTCTTGTGGGCTCTGGGAAGGTGTAGCGTGGTGAGATGAGAATCAGGCCGTGCTGTACTGAGCTCTCACAGTGTGCTGAGGAATGTCCTATTTCAGTTGTGCCTTGGCTTTCCCCCTCCACAGTCAGTGTGCAATACCTTCTGAGAAAACCCTGTGTTTATCAATGTGTGTTTTAACTAGTTTAACATCATTTTTCAACCATTTTTAATTATTTCTTCTAAATGATAATCCTCAAGGAAAAAAGCTTTATGAAAGAGAATGTTTATCAAAGGTGTGTTTGTTTGGGGATGCACTCCGCCGGTTTATTTCACATTTCCAGTTTATTTCCATGTTTATGTCCAGGAGGGTTCCCAGTGGATGTGGGAGTGAATAACTGCAATGGATCAAGGGAGGTGCTGCTTTAATGTGGATCAGGGCTAACCTGGAGGAAAAGTGCCTGCGAGTACCTGAGCCAGGAGATTTTTAATGAAACTCCTGCAGCTGCCTTGGGTTTCCTCTGACCTGTCTGAAATGCCCCTTCTCCTCTGTTTCCATGCAGCTTTTTTCCTTTTATCGTCCCCTGGGTGATTCCCCTTGGCTGCAGGGATGAGCTGCCCTGCTCCCCTTGGGTTCCTGCCTAGCAGCACTTGTGATTGCTCTTCATGGGAAGAAGTGAATTTTGGAGGCTTTTCAGTGGCACGAACAGTTTTCAATAATTACTTGCATTTAAATTCCCATGTTGTGAGAATGAAAGGTGCACAGCTGGCAGCAGTTTCCTCAACTGTCTGCTTTGGCTTTAAATGTGGTTTTATTCCCCTCCCATCCACCCATTTTGGGATAATTTGCTACAACTTGGTGATAATACAGGATTTTCTGAGTATTTAACATTCTGCTCTGAATTCTTTACATGATTACACTGAGCTACTTGAATTGGAGAGTTTTAGAAGCACCAGCATTGGGATAGGCCTGAGATAAAGGCACTTAAATGCCTCCAAGGTTGGGGCTTGCCTTGCTGTGTTCCTGGGAACAGCTTGGCTCTGTGCTGGCTTGGTGCAGGAGGTGAATGCAAACAGGGGATGGAGCAGGAGGTGCCAGCTCCTGGTGTCACCTTGCTGGGACCCAGGGCTGGCTCCTGCTGCTCTCCCTTAGCACAGGCTGCCCTTGCAGGATCAGGGTTGTTCTCCTGGGGTTCTGGGCAGGGGAGCTGTCTGAGCAGTGCCCCACAAGTGGGGTGTGTGTGTGACTGTCCCTTTCCTAGGTGCAGGAACAGGGGTGTCCTGTCACCCTGCCACGCTGCCATGGCCTTTGCTGCAGCTCAGTTGAGATCCTGGAGCCACCTTGTCCCTCCTGGGGATGGGCCTGAGCACTCTGGGCCCTCCTGAGAGCTGGGTGACAGCTCTGGGGACATTCTGGGGCTCTGGGGACATTGTGGGCTCTGCAGGGTGACAGCTCTGGGACTCTGTGGGCTCTGGGGACATTCTGGGGCTCTGGGGACATTGTGGGCTCTGCAGGGTGACAGCTCTGGGACTCTGTGGGCTCTGGGGACATTCTGGGCTCTGCAGGGTGACAGCTCTGGGGACATCCTGGGGCTCTGGGGACATTGTGGGCTCTGCAGGGTGACAGCCCTGGGACATTGTGGGGCTCTACAGGGTGACAGCTCTGGGACATTGTGGGGGTCGGTAGGGTGACAGCTCTGGGGACATTGTGGGGCTCTGCAGGGTGACAGCCCTGGGACATTCTGGGACCCTGCTGGGTGACAGCTCTGGGACATTGTGGGCTCTGCAGGGTGACAGCTCTGGGACTCTGTGGGCTCTGCAGGGTGACAGCTCTGGGGACATTGTGGGGCTCTGCAGGGTGACAGCCCTGGGGACATTCTGGGCTCTGCAGGGTGACAGCTCTGGGACATTCTGGGGCTCTGCAGGGTGACAGCTCTGGGACATTGTGGGCTTTGCAGGGTGACAGCTCTGGGACATTCTGGGCTCTGCAGGGTGACAGCCCTGGGGACATTCTGGGACCCTGCAGGGTGACAGCTCTGGGACATTCTGGGACCCTGCAGGGTGACAGCTCTGGGGACATTCTGGGACCCTGCAGGGTGACAGCCCTGGGGACATTCTGGGACCCTGCAAGGTGACAGCTCTGGGACATTGTGGGGGTCTGCAGGGTGACAGCTCTGGGACATTCTGGGCTCTGCAGGGTGACAGCTCTGGGACATTCTGGGCTCTGCAGGGTGACAGCCCTGGGACACTGTGGGCTCTGCAGAGGCTCCCGTGTGCCCAGGGCTGTGGGCAAGGTCCCCGTGCCCCTCTCTGCTCCCCCCAGCCCTGCAGGGAGCCCAGGAGCAGCAGCACAGTGCCTCTTTGTGCAGGCACACAGACTCCAGACTCTAATTTTGGGTTGAATTTCCCTGCTGAGCACATAGGTATCTGTGGTGTGTGTGATTCTGGGTTTGGCTGCTGAGCAAGGGATGACAGAGTGCAATCCAAAGATCTTGCCTCTGGGTGGATGCTCCTTTATTTAGCTCTGAAGCACAGTGTAAACAGGAGTTATGAATATTGGCTGTTTCCTGACACTGAAATACCTGCAGTGTGCTGTATTTATGCACAGAAGAGCTAAA